AATGAAAACCTTTTGGGAGTTTCCGAAAGCTAAGCCTTGGAATTCCCCTTGTTAGCCTCCCCCCCCACCCCCCACACCGGGCAGGGACCGCCTTATTTGCACAGAGGTGCTCAGGAGGGGACCTCCCCGAAAGGGCAGCGCGCCTGCGGGGTGGGGGGAGGGGCGGGGCAGCAGGACCTGTCCTCGGGCCAAGCTGTGGTCCCAGTAGCTCAGGTGACTCATTTTTGTCTCTGGTCTTTTACCAAAGTTTACAGATGAAATGTTTCTGTTCTTCAGTGTCAGGGTTCAGCGAGTTATGGCCCTTTCAGCCTCTGTCACCTTTTTCCCGTCACTGAACAGAGATACCAGCTCCGCTAGCACCGGGTGGCCCATGGGACTTGCTCTTTTTTCATGCATGCGTGTTAACATATGGGTAAAACGGGCGTGTGGGAACGACATGTTGTTTCCCTGGACCCTAGAGTCGGGGCTGGGGGCGCGAGTCTGCGTCTCGGAGCAGAAGCGGGTTGGGGGACGGGGCGCTTGGGGCTGTTCCGAGGCACCTTATTGATGGGTTTGGGGCTTCCCACCCGGGACGCTTGCGGGGCCTCGGGGCGGACTTCTGTTGTGTTGGGGCGGCCTCTCAAATCCCTGTGGACCCCTGGCAGACGTCCCGGGGGCTGCTTTGGGGTTGGGTGGCTGTTGGGCGGGGTTGGATGGGTAGCACTGTCAGACTTCCGTGCGGTAAGAGTGTGACCCCGAGGCCTCTCAGGGTCTCTGCCGGAGGTGAAGGGCCCGAGAGCCGTCTGGCCACTTGGCCTTCAGCTGCCGCCGCCTCCTGGGGGCCTGTGAGAAGTCTGTGCCGTGCTTGAACTCCCGGGTGTCTCTGCATCGGAATCGATGCCCCTCGGGGCCTTCAGCTGCTTCTCGGAGTGTGTGGGACCCTCTTCTCCCTTTTCCCCGGAGGCCGCCTGTGTGACGAGCCCGGGGGCCCGCTCCTTCCCCTGAACTGTCGCCCTGCACCCAGGGAAGTCACCTGCGCGCCGCCCCGAGGTGGCCGGGCTGTGGCCCCCGCCAGCCAGCACGCTCGGCAGCACAGCGGCCGGGAGCCCCAGGGAAGCGCCTGCCCCGGCCCGGCCGCACAGGCTGGGCCCCGGGCCCCACAGGGACAGCGTGCGCGCCTCCTCCGGGCCACGGCGCTCGGAGAAGGACGCGGCCTTACACCGGGACACAGGGGCCGTGGGGGGTGAACGTGGAACGTGGTGCGTGTGCTGGCGTGCACGTGTGCGCTCGGCGGGGAGCCCGCGGCCCGGGGGGCGCCCCGCCCGTGAGGCCGGCACGGGCCCCGGCGCCCTGAGCGGTTCAGATGGAGGCTGAGGCAGGCTGGCAGGCGGGTGTGTGTGTGAGTCGGTGCCCTCTTCAAACCGCACAGGCCGTGCGGGGGACAAGGCGGCCAAGCAGCGTCTGTGCCATTGGACAGTCCCCCTCTGCCAAGGGCGTCTCGTCCCCTTGGCGTCGCATGTAGCCAGTTTCCGAGGACACAGGAGAGTGGGGCGGGGGGAGCCGAGGGGACCAGGGCGCATCCCTTGCTCGGTAAACACGCGCGGAGCGCTGCATAAAGGCTCTGGCCAGCCTGTGGGGCGGGGGCCTGGATCCCCTCAGCTCCCGGAGATACGCGAAGAATGGTAGTTCCAGGACAACGTGTAAAAATGTCAGCGCCAGCTGCTCTGGGCGCCGCCGCTGCCGTGGGCGCCAGGATTCTCACCCATGCGTGGGATGCCCCCGTGGGAGCCCTCCGCATGGGGGCCGGCCGCTCAGCGGTGCGGGGGGCAGGGCGGGGAGGCCCGTGCCCGGGGGCGGAACTCCCCGCATGGCAGCCAGGACCCTCCCCACAACTCCGCGCCCGCTCTCCTCCGCCTTGATGCTGCTCGGCTCTTCATTAAAAAAAATGTTTTATATCCTTGTCACAGATGCTTTTTTTCATTGCTTTCTTGGGGAGGAGGAACATCAATCCGTTGTCCCCTGCCACACGCCCCCCCTGGGGCTGGCACCTGCAGCCTGGGTATGTGCCATGACCGGGCATCGGACCCGCGGCCTTTCAGCCCACAGGCCGATGCTCAAACCAACCAGCGACACAGGCCAGGACGCAGCTCTTCGTTTTTGCAAGATGAGAGGTAAAAGCGGCCTCTCCTTTATCCCAGTCTTCATCCATCCGGTTATGATGGAGGTTGGGCGTCTGAAAAGATGCTGAAAAGGCATCTGAAGTGTGTATTTAGTAAAGCAGCCTTTCGGAGCATTGCTCATTTGAAATATCAGACTTTTTCCTTTTTGATTTTGAAGAATTCATTGCATTATAAATATTAAGTTTCTGACCGATTATATCAGGCAAGTCTGTGCCAATTTTGGATGGATTTGACCAACAGAAATGTCAGTTTCTTATCATTCCACTTCATGCATTACAAGTGCTCCGGCAGTTGCTTGTGTAATTCTGTTGGCGGAGTGTTTATTGAGGTGCAAGTTTTAAGGCAGTGGCTTGTTCGGGCCTCCCCACTGTTGCACGTAGTCTCTGTTTTGTTTCTTTTTTTAAGAACCTCTTCTCTTCTCCATGGTCATCAAGATGCTGCACACTCATCTGCTCTTATAGTCATTTTTGCTTGTCCCCTTCTGATCCAATTTCATGGCGGATTCCTTTGGAGCTCGTGCTGTTTCTGCTCTTTCCCCTGCGCGAGCCGGCTCGCGCAGCGTGCCTTGCAGTGCGGCCCATCCTTCCTTCCGTGAGTTGTGACGGTCTCGCCTGTACTGAGTTCTCCTGTAGGATGAGCCCGTCACATGTGTCTGCTTTTACAGAGTTTGTTGCGTGTCGTGCATAGTTTTGTATCTTTTTCTCCTTGCCCACGACAACCATTGCCCCGCATTAGTTTTTGGGAAGTGTGATTTCCCATAGCCACCCAGTATTTTGGTGGTGGATATTGATGTTTCAGTGCTTGGGTGGCTTCTGCTTTCCCCGGCCATCAGGAGTCTGAGACCCCACTTTGCTCTCCTAGTCACCACACCCAGGGAGGGGGGCGGCCCTGTGCACGTGTTTTTGGCGCCTCTGTTACGGGTGACCAGGCAAGAGGGGTTGGGTCCTCCCGGCGGCCTCTGCATTCAGGCTGCCTCAGCAGCGTGGTGGCGGGGCTCTCCAGAGAGACAGGGTCGCTGGGCCGCACACGCAGCTGGCGATTCGCCATGCGGGCTCGTGCGCGTGGCCGCGGGGGCCGCAGAGCCCCGGGGTGCGCAGGCGGCGAGCTGGAGGCACGGCAGGCTGCTGTGCAGTCCCAGCCCCAGCGCCAACACAGGAGGAGGCCGCTGTCCCCGCTTGAACGCAGGCAGGCGGAGAGGACCGGTCTCTTCCTCCGCCCTTTAGGGTGTTCAGGTCCAGCAAGGGTCGGGCGAAGCCTGCCCGCGTGGGGCGGTGCGCAACCAGCTTCCCTCCGTCTGTGCGTTTCAATGTTCATCTCTGTGCGAATGGAGGTGACTTGGTTGTGGTAAGTATTTCACAATGTATCTTTGTATCAAATCATCGGGCTGTCTACTTTAAATATGCAGCGTTGTTTTCAGTTACACCTCAGGGGGAGGAAACACCGACCACAGCTGAGCTGGGGTCAGTCAGTGTGAACATTTTGTCCTCCCAGGCCTGTGTGGTTTGGAGACGCGGGTTTGGGGGAAGTCCTGGGGCTCTTCAGCCGCACTTCTCCTGGGGGCCGCGCTGCGCAGAGGGGCGGCTGGGGGGCGGCCCCTCCTTGAGCCGGAGAGGCCAGGGTCGGCCGCTCTTCTGCCTGCGTCTCTATCCTGCTGTGCAGCCCCTCCCCCCCGGTGGCAAGCCCATCTTGATTGGAGACTCTCTCTCCGCCTTTGCGCCAGAAGGCAGAGAATCAGTGATTCCACAGGCCTCCGAGCATAGACGGATAGTCCAGAAACAGGCCCCATGAGGACAGCAGCCAGGCCATTTCCCGCCTGAGGCCCGGGGCTGCGGGCCTGCGTGAGGCCAGCACTTCTGCGCCCAGCTCGTAGCGGGGAGAGGGAGGGCGGGGGGTGAAAAGTGTGGGCCTCGCGCGCTGACCAGATCTGGGGCACCCGTTTTGACCTGCGAGGGCTTGTCCTCCCAGGACCCCACACGCGTGCTGTCATTTCAAAGCAGGTCCCTTGCATGGCCCCCATGTGGCGTCGCAGGAACCCTGGGGCTGGAACAGGCCCAGAGAGGCGCCTGGCCCTGCCCGGGGCACCCCGGCTGTGGAGGGCCCGAGCCCCCGGGCCCCGCCCAGGCCCCTGTCCTGCCTCGGGGGTCCATCTGGAGCGTGGAGGGAGTCCACGTGGAGCCTGCCACGCGCTGTTGGGGCGCGTGCCTCCTTCCTCCGTGTGTCCTGCCCGTCCCTGCCTGGGGACGGTGGCGGTGGGGGCAGGGCCTGCTCTGGAGGGCGGGCCTGTGGAGTGACATCAGTTCCGCCTGGAAATCTGCGTTGTTGGGGCCTCCAAGCTGACCCCTGCCGCTCCGGGCTCGCACTGCGACCCCAGGGAAGTCCCTGCAGGAGCTCAGACACGGTTCTGCGTCAGTCCTTGGCTTTGGGGTCGAGCGACTTCTGGGCTGGGAGAAGGCCGGCCTCCCTCCTCCAGGCATATTCCGGCCTCTCCTCTCCCTCTGGGAGAGGCCGTAACCCCAGGCCGACGACAGGGCGCCTTGCTGCTCGCAGGTCCGGGCTCTGGGCTTCAGGACCCTGGTCTGGTCACGTGCCCCCGGGACGGCCTGTGAGTGCACCCGGGTCCCCGCCGGCCTGCCCGGACGCGGCTGCCAGCGCAGTGGTGGCAGGTCCTTGCACATATCGCCGTGGAAACCCAGCGCTGCCTCACCGGCGGGAGACCTCCCCCAGTCGGTCTTTCCGAGCATTGAGAGGGTTCGGTGCTGTGGGGGGCTGCTGCCAGGACCACGAAGCGCACACGTTTTCTCTCTTCTCTTCCAGGCTGCGAGTCCCTGTGCCACAGGCGATGTGAAGCCAAGGTAAGCGGCCGCTCCCCCGGGGCCCTCCTCCCTCGGCCGCGCACATGATACCCTTGGGGGGCCGCCCTGGACTGCGGCCGCCGGGGAAACCGCAGAAAGGGCCGCTCGGGGCTTCCTGATAGGGTGTATCTGTTTCATCGGAAGAGTAAACTGAAGAGCTATGAAATTCATGTTTCAAGTTATGGAAAATGACGTCTGAGAGTCTGGTTTCAGATGAGATGCGGCTAATTTGGTCTTGGCCACGTCACAGCCCTTTCTTCATTAACACACGATCCCTTTTCTCGTGACAACAGACCGCCTTTCAGGGCCCAGAGGGACAGGAACAGGGTCCCGGGTCCATCCCTGGCCCTGAGGTGGTGGCTGGCTGCTTTTGGGGAAGTGGTTCACAGGTGGTTTGGGGCTTTGAGGCTCTCGTGGAAGTCGGGGGCCCTGCATTGGGGTAGTTCTCTTGCTTTTGCATGTTCTCTGGAGCTTTAAGTTGCCAGGGGCCCCCACGAAGCCCTGGAGGCCCGGCACGCTTGGGTGAGGCTAGGGGTTTGATTGGCGGGGAAACGAGGTGGCCTGGGGGTGACACGCGGGAAGCCGCGGGCGCCTTGGGCCGGGCCCTGGTCTTCTGCGCTGTCCCGGTGTCCGCACACTGTCCAGAGGCGGTGCTGCCGGGGGGCGCCTTTGTGGGCCCTCGGGCGTCTCCCAGGCTGTCTGTGCTGGAGGTCCGGGGGTGGGGGGGGGGTGCAGGGGCTTTGCCGCTACTCTGGGCCCGTGGGCCTGCTGCTCCTGAGACTTTCCAGCTGGTCCCGGACTCAGTGGGGGGAGCGTGTGCAGGAGGCAGCTCCATGGTGCCGTGAGCTGACTGCACAGGGTACGTCCCACGTGTGGAGACCGGGGGCTGGTTTCCTCTGCCCTCCCCACCATGTACACACACGGACACATGCAAGCATGCACGCTTGCACACACAGATGTGCAACATACACAGGCACACAGGCATTCGCACCTGCACACACACTCACAGACATGCATACCTGTGCAGCACTTTGCAGTGTACACACATGCAAGCACATGTACCCACAGGTGGGCACGTGGAGGCTCAAGTGCAATTTGCCTCCACATATGCACACAGACGTGCATGCAGGCACACACACAATGTGCACACATGCACACACTCACATACAAAGTTAGAAGAACCACAGGCAAGTCTAGCCCTGTATTTTTTTCAGGGAAGAGATTAATTGACTTTTTGCGTTAAGCTTTTCATTGCGGAGACTTTGGGGCACAGGCAGAGGAGGGAGACCAGCACAGGCCCCGGCTGTGCTGCCCCTCGCCCCCCCCCCCCCCCCGCACCCCTGTGCCCTCCTCCACACTCGCCCCTGGCGGCCGCTCCCGAGATGTCCCGTGACCTGCGCTTTTAGCTGTTTCAAGCACCGGCGCCCGTGGCCCGGCTTTGGGCCCTTCTGCTCTCACTGGCAGCCTCCTGTCAGGCCTGGCCCGGGAAGGCCGGCCCTCTCTGCGGGGGTCCTGCGCCTGCCGCTCCAGGGCGGGGCTGCCTTCCGAGGACTGGGGGGCGGCCGTGTGCTCTGCACTCGTCCCCCAAGTCCTGTGTGGGAGTGGGGTTCCCTGTGCGGTGGGGCGTGGGGTGAACGCCCCCTCGGGGACGGCTCCAGGCTTTCCCCGCCTCCTTGGGAAGGGATGGGAGAGCCCCACCCCCCAGAGGGTCTGCCTTGCAGGGCGCCTTGTCCGGCACAGCGGGTGGCGCATCTTCACCTCGGGGTGGGGGGCCGCCACCCTGTGCCCTCCTGCACGTGTGCGTGTGCCTGCCAGTGTCCGTGTGTGTGCGTGTGCACCTTTGTAGGCGTGTGCATTGCATGGGTGTGAGTATGCCTGTGTGTGTACTTGCACCTCGCATGTGCTTGCGAGTGTGCGTGACAGTGGGTGCGCTGTGTGTGGATGTGTGAGTGTGCATGGCATTGCATGTTTGAGGGCACGCACGGTGTGTGTGAGCGCGCAGGCATTGCATTCCAGCGCATGTGGGTGCGTGCTGGCATGTGGGCGTGTGTGCAGTGTGCGCATGTGGGTGTAATGTGCGTGCCAGTGCACGTGTGGGTGTGCACTGTAAGCCTGCGTGTTATGTGCATGCGTGTATGTGGATGTGTGTGCATAGCCGTGTAGGTGTGAGCATGCACGTGTGTGAGTGCATGTCGGCGTCTGTGTCCCTGTGTGTGGGCGCGCCTGCCTGTGGCACTGTTGCCGGCCAGGCTGCCCTGACCTGCAGCTGCAGGCCCGATCCCGCTGCCGTGGGCTCCGTTTCTTAAAGGAGGCCCAGCCGACGATGTAGGGGATTGAATTCTTTGGTTCAAAGAATATTTCAGAAGTCTTAACTATCACTGATAATGGTATTTCTAGCCGCAGAAATTGGCAGTTTGCTGAGAGGTAGATAAGCTTTTTTCACTCTTATTAGATCACAGTCCAGGGAAATGTGTCCGTATTCATTTTTTTCGATAACACAGTTTTGAATGGCAAGAGAGAATGCCACGAGCAATAACAAAGGCCCTTCTCATTCCGAAGCCCCAACACCGTCGCGGGGGGATGGAGGGCCATGAATTCTCAGCGCCCCGGAGACGCGTCAGGGAACAGCCGAGGCGGGCTCTGCCGCACTGCTGGGTCCGTGCTTAGCGGCAGAGCGGGCCCTGTGAGCACAGGTGCGCCAGGTTTCCTGGGAGACAGTGAAGCCCTGGCTTCCCGTCCGATGCGGCCCCGCCCCCGCTGGCTGGGGCCGGCCTTGTCTCGGGTGCCCCCGTGACGGTCCCCAGGCCTGGGAGGAACATCGAAGGGAAGAGCGTGGCCAAGGGCGAACCTGCTCCTCGGGGCACCTTAGCGCCTGGTGACGCGCTGTTGTCACTGCCCTCTTCGCCGTCGGGCCGCCGTGCCCCTGCAGGGCGGACGCTGAGGAGAGAGCCGCCCTGCGGACGCGGGGCTGGCTGTGGGCCGGCGCCGGCCCGGTGGGGATCCAGGCTGCGGGCTGGGTGCTGGAGTGTGGGCCGAGGTCGCCGCTCTCGCTGGCCACCAGGCAGCATGTCCCCTCGGGGGAGGCTGTGCTGTCGGGGACGCAGAGGCCGAGGCCTGGTGTCCTCCGGGGAGGGGCTTGTCTGCCAGAGCCCGCCCAGCACCCAGGACCTCAGCCTCTTCGGGTGAAGCAGGTGAACAACACGGCTCCTGCCCCCCATCTGTAAATGGCTCACTCTTGGTTCTAATTCATGGGGGATATTCCTTATGTAGGTTTAGGGAAGTCCAGTAATTCGTGCGTGATTCCTGGAAGCTCAGGGTTCCAGATCCCCACTCCCACGGGCAGGACAATCGCAGCTGAAACTCAGGTGGTTTTGGGGTGACGTGAGATCCTAGCCTGGGGCCGGCGGGTGGCACCTGCGGGGAGGGGCAGCGATCAGCTCACTATTGAGGGATGACCAAGCACGTACCCAGCGCCCACCGCCCCATCCATCCTTTCCCAGTCGTGGTCCCCCAGAGGCGGTGCTAGACTGGCCACAGTCCCAGGTGACAGACGGCTGGGACCCGAGGGAGTTGCGCAAAACGAGAGCAAAACTCGGGGAAAGCGCGGCGACCCCCCGCGGCCTCTGCCAGCATCTGTGCGGGCGCTTGTTCCGTGGGTGGGCCCGTGGCGACACGTCGTCGTTGACGGACGTCTGTCTCCAGAGTCCCGCCTTCTCCAGACTGTGATAGAGCCGGGGTCACGCACCGCGTCGCCTTTCCAGACCGTTCTTTGCCACCTCAGCGATGTGCAGTGGCGGTTCCACCGCGTCTTTCCGCGGCTCAGTAGCCCCTTCTCCTCGGCTGTGAGTGATGCCCCGCCCGGACGGGCCGCGGCCCCCTCCTCGCCCCCTCGTGGACGCCTGGGCTGCTTCCAGGTCCTGTCTTTTATTTTTGTGAACTGTCTCTGGAGTCTGCACAGCCATCGACATGGGAACCCTTTACCCTCATTGAGGCCCTTGTTTTCGTTGCCCGGAGACGCCTCTCCCGGGAGGCTGTCCGCACCGGGCTTTCCTGACTCGGCCCACCGAGAAGTCGCTCTACACACGTTGCCTCAGTAAAGCTGCGCCCCCTGCGGCGGCCGGCTCCCCGCCACAGCCCATTATTCTGAGTCCTGGAGGTTGGACGGCTGCCCCACACGCACTTCCCCGCCAGCGGGAGCTGCTGCATGGGCCCCGGGCTGCCTCTCCCTGCCCGCTGAGCGCCGTCGGCACCCGCACCGCTCCTCACGCCGACCGGGGGTCCACGCCGGGCCCCTGCGCTGCACAGCCGGCCTGGACGCAGCGCGGGCAGGAGCGGCGGGGGTCCCGGTGTGCAGGCAGCAGGAGCAGCCCTGCGGCCCCGGGCCCCGGGCCCCAGGGGAGGGGCGCACAGGCCTGGGCCTGGCTCGAGCCGGCCCGCACAGCCGCGCTGTGGGTCTCAGGGTCTCCCTCTGCGAAGGAGCCATGACGGCGCCTGTCCCCACCCGGGTCTGCGCGTGGTCTTAAGACCCGCAGCAGCATCTTCTTCCTGATGCCGCTGGGCGGTCCTCGGGGTGCCCTCCTTCCACCCCTTGCAAGGCAAGGGGCGGGGGGCCTCGCCGGCAGGTCTGGCGGGTGGACCCCAGCTCTGGCCAGGTCCCGTCCATGAGGGTCGGCCACGGGTACATCCACAGGACTTGTCCCCAGGACAGTGGCCTTGGGCCCCTTCCCAGCAACTGCCAGACACCCTCTGCCTCACGGCAGCCCGGGGCCCCGTGCCTGTAGGGGCAGCCCTGGCCGCCTGGGTCAGAGGGCCGGCGCCGAGCCCAGGCAGCACGTGTGGCGCCCCTCGGTGGCCGCTGGGGTGTGTCGGGGCGCGTTGCTCTGAGGCTTGTGTGGGCAGCTTCCAGCCTCTTTGACACGCTTCCTATGCCACGGGTCGCACGTTCCTCGCCAGGCTCCCAGCTTTGTGCCGGGCCCCCTCCGCGGGCGCGCCGCCCACCA